GGCTCCCAACAACCAAGAAGTATAACAACCTCATTGGTTTAATGTTATTATTGCTGGTCTGAAAACGCATTTGTCCACTTTTGTTTTCTCCACCGTTGTTCACTCTGGGGAGTAAGAGGATAGATAAAATGTGACCTTGGAGCAGCAAGGCTTAAACTACCCTTTTATGAGCCACAAATCAATGTTGCTGGGCTTTTCTTCGGAGAAAAGCTAGCAAGCTTCTCCAGAGTGTTCTGCCGCCCCAGCAGAGGGAGGCACCCAGGATGACCAGACAGAAAGCAGAGCATAGATTTAATATGCAGTCAGGAATCTGGCTGCCTCGAAAATGGAGGAAGATGACCCTGTCTAGGGGTATGACATTGGATTTTTTTAAGGTGTTCGGTGGCTCCAGGACTCCATTGGCTTACCTATCTCTATCCTGCTTTCTCATTGGCCCTTGTTTTTGCATCCCGATTGGTCTTTATTTCAGCCCAGTGATTGGTCTCATAACTTGCGCTCCTCATTGTCATGTGAGGCAGTGCTGTTATGAGTCATCTGGACTTCCAGGAATGGGTCATATGAGGCATTTTGGGATGGGTTATCCAGCCCTCTCGCTGACCCTAATAGACCAGTCAATGCGGGTTGAAAGCTTGTTGGAAATGCCCCACCTCAGATCTACTGAATACATTTTTTACTCTAATAAGATCCCCAGGTGATTTCTGTACTGGTAGAAGTTTGAGAGTCACACTGCTTTGTGGCAATGCGGAAATTGGAGTGTGCTTTACAAATGTCACCTGTAGAGTAAAAACAAAAACTGCTTCTTGGACTTCCATTATAGATAAGCTGAGTCAGCCTCTCCAAGGGGAGGGTCCAGGAATGTGAAGCTTGAAGAGATTGCTGGATAATGCTGATGGGCATCTCTTAGTTAAGAAACACTGCTATCTGAGAATCCAACCACCTGGTGATAGTATCATTTTGACATAGCCACTGGCTCCCCCTCCCATCCCCCATCGTGCACTCAACTCAGCCTACATCATTCTTAGATTACTGAGTAATTTCTAGGTCAGATGACCTCAGGTCCTAATTTCCCCAGGCCACTCTGACTTGTCA